GTTTGAGGTGAAGGGTCTCGGGCTGGTGTTTGAGGTGAAGGGTCTCGGGCTGGTGTTTGAGTGAAGGCTCTCAGGTTGACGTTTGAGGCGTGGTTTTGGTCATGGGAAATGAAAGTGAGGAAAGCAAAGAGAAAAAGACCATGCTCCATGGCTTACAGATGGGGTCAGGTGATAGTCAGAGCTGGTGGTCCCGTGCTGTGGTGGATGCTGAGGTGGCTGTTGGGTATTGGGCTGAGACACGCACGTTACCTCAGTCTGCCTCCATCACCTCAGCTACGCCTTTTACACTTGGAGTCCAGGTGGCACTGCACACAGGCTGCCTGTTGTCAGCACCTGAGGCTGGTGGGCAGGTGACAGTGAGTGTGCTGGAGGGTGGAGTCCCCATGGCTTTCTTACCTGGGTTCAGGTGGTGCCTGGTGGAGGGCGGGATTGTGAGATGTCATTGGCATGAACAGGAAATAGCGATGCCCGACTGTCTTGTCTGTTCTCTGAGAGATGACAATTCATCATACGACATTTGTCCTCTCCTTTCTTTATCATCTTTATGGGAGTTGTAATTTCAAGTATATTTGGGATTTTAATTTTTGCTGAAACTGGCCCCAAAATTATTCATATGCCCCAAAATGAATGGAAGGAAAATGTTCAATTATTTACAGACACCAGCTCCAGGGAGTAAGTTGACCCGGCTTCCCACATGCTCAGAACAGACTCAGCCCATGTGGATCCAGAAGGGGCGGGGACTTCCAGAGGGGCGTGGCCACAGGGGCGTGACCACAGAGGCCTGGGAGGACACACCGGGAGGGGCCTTGCAATGGCGTGGCTGGGCTGTTCTGCTATCAGTGACCACGTTATGCCTCAGTCTATCTATCTGTAAGAGGGCGTTCACTGTGGTAGCACGCTTGTGAGGTTGCTGGGCCTGGGGCATTGGACCACCGGGAGGTGGTGTGAGCTGGGTGTGTTGGTGGTGTAGTGGAGGCACTGTGGGGCCCTTGTGAACGTGAGTTTTCCTTGGACATGTTCCTGATTCTCTGGTGACTTGTGTGGTACGTTGCTGTTACGTCTTCCCTTCCTCATGCTCCCGGCCAGGCTCTGTCTGTGCGGGGCTGCGTCGTTTTCCCTGACCCTGGCTCCTATAGGTGCTCGGGGCTCACTGCTACAGGCATCTGGTGGCTTTTCTGAGTCTCTCACCCCCTTCCTCGGTCACAAACAGGGCACAGGCTCTGCCACAGCACAGTGGGCTCTGAGACAGGAGTCTAGTCAGCTGGTTGTGGGTACCGTTGAGTGGGATCCCACGTCCAACAGGACCAAACGTGCCCGGTCCTGAGCCGTCCTCACAGCTGTGTCTGAACCCCTTACTGCTGCCACTGTGTCGCCCCATGTCCGTGGGGGTCTTCCTCTTTTTCACTGACCCTCCACTTCACTAACTAAACATGATGTCCTTCAGGGACTGGTCCCTGCTGATTGGCTGTCCAAAATAAGGCAAAGTCTTAGCATCCTCACGTCTAAGGAGCCAGCATCTTAAATCTGCCCTAAACACACCTGCCTTTGCTGCTTGGGTTATGAGATGAGAACCTTCTGCCTCAGTGTCTGGTGAGGCCCTAGAAGCGGGTGGGGTGTGTGTAGTTAGGTTAGCCATTCTTTAGACCCTGGGGGGGTACAGATGGTGAATGTGCATCTTCAGATGCTCACCGCATGGGTAGAGGTTCGAATCTACCCAGAGGCACTGAGGAAGAAAGTCCTGTTGGTCTGCTTCTGAAAAACCAAATGCTGAAAAGCCTGTGGGTCACACACGGGTCGTCACGAGTCACACTTTTATGCCCACGTCAGTGAATAGTTAGGAGAGTTCTCACGCATATTTGAAAGCATGACATTTGGGGATGAAAGCATTTCTAGGTCTCAGTGCCGCTCTCCCTGCTCTGCTGGTTCTTCAGGCACTGGAGGCCCAGATGGACTGTCCAGTGGGCCGGAATCCTGAGTTTGTCCATGTTAGGAATCTGTGGCCAAGCCCTGGGGCGCTTGGGGTAGCCCACACCTGGCACGGGGATGGGGTCCCAGGAGTGGGTCACATGCAGCTGTTTCAGAATAATTTGGGGGAGCTGTTGACTGCTGTCTCTGACTTCAGAGTGGCGAAAAGGCGCTCCTGGACCTCGGCGCCCCTATATCCAGCCTGGACGGGCAGCGGGTCACCTTGGAGGAGAAGGAGCCTGCCAAGGGGAGAGGTACGTGAGCCTTCCTTCCCAAACGCTAGGGCGCCGTCTCTACCTCCATCTTGCCAGGCACAGCCCGGCCTTTGTGACCAAGGAGGACGCTTGCTCCGGGCTTGGGTGACCATCCGCACTGAACCCCGCCCCCTGCAGACAGTGCTGAGGTGCTCACGTACTCACACACATGAAGGTACTTTCACCACAGACTTGAAGGCACATTCAGTGAGCGCACACGTGTAGAGGTACTTCCACCACATACATACACGAGGGTGCCTCCGTTCCTCCCTGGGGCACATTCACTATGTACACATGAGGGCATGTTTATCACACACATGTCGGTACTTTGACCACATGGATGAGAGCACGTCCACATGTGTGAGGGAAGGCTCGTGGCCGCTCTGTGAGAGGGACATGGAGCTCCGAAGGCCAGGTGGGGCAGGAGGTGAGGAGAAGGCTGGCGTGGCTCCTGCAGCAGGAGCTGAGGCTGTGCCCGCTGCCCGGCCTGTGCTGGACTTACCCAAGTGCCGTGACTCAGCTACTTCACAGCTCGGTGCCACAGCCCTGGGTCAGACAGCTGGGAGGCTGTGGGACTGTGGGACGTAGGACCTCTGGCCTTCCCCGATGTCACAGATACAGATACATGGGGATGCTCACGTTCCCCTCAGAGTGCTCATCCATCCCTGCCAAATCACTGCACTAGACAAAGCCATTTAAACTGAGGTGGGGGTCCTGTTTGTTGTGCCCACTACCCAAGGACAAGCCGAGATGTGGCCCAGGGATTGTCCAGGTGGAGGGATCATGACAATGTGTCTCCTGGGAGTCTCCTAAGAGCATGGGGAGGAACCGCTGTCAGGGCCTCACCGTGGTGAGGGTCTGCATGCGTATTTCTGGGGCCTCTTCAGCCTCCTTCCCCTGGGTGTGGGCAGCCAGGTTGCAGGCCTGTGGCCATTTGTGCGTGGGTGAGTCTTGCAGAGGTGCTCCAGGCCGACTCCTTTACTGAAGGAATGATGGTGTGGTTTCTGTGGCTGCCCTGGCTTGTGACAGAGGCACACTTAGGGATGTCTTCTACCGTCCAAAGGACATTCATGCCAAAAATGAACACGAAACAAGCTTTTTGTGCAATATGTCAGCCCTCCTACAAAAGCCCCACAGAATTGCATGGCCCCTGCCCTCAGCCCCCAACAAATGTGTCCTCCCATCCTAGCCAGACACTTCGGCCAACCTCCCTGGGGCCAGCAGACCAGAGATGCTTATCGACATGTTTGTTCTCTCTGCAGCTTCGCCTTAGGTGAGGGCTGAGTGTGTGGATGGTGACACTTGTGTCCTTGTGTTCCGTCTCCACAGATAAACAGAAAGGTGCCGCAGGCAAACACGGTCTAGCTGTAAATTCCAGCTCCAGAAACCACACGGCGACGGTAAAGCTCTTGGTCCCCACGTGGCCCCGGTGCCGCCATGTGCCCCACACCTGTCCCCTGACTTTCCTCTTGTCTGCGGGGGGGTGGAGCGCGGCGGGGTGCGCTTCCTTTGGGGGTCTCTGTCCCGCCCTTGCTGCCCTGCGGTTCTCCCTCAGTGCCTTCTGAGGCTGGCCCACCCTCCTTGTCTGTCCCCGGTGAGCTGTGTGTGCTGGAAACGTGAGTGGGACTTTTGACTTTTCTCCTGCTGCAGGGAGAGGAAAGAGCGCTAGGCAAGTCTAGCTCTATTAAGATCAAAGGCGGAAAAAATGCTAGGGAGCCCCGGCTTTCAAACAGAGAAGAATCTATTGCAAAGATTGGGAAAAAAAAATATCAGAAAATTAATTTGGACGAAGCGGAGGGTATGTGGACTTTTTAAAATTTGCACGTCTTTTAGTAAACATGAGGCCAGTGTTCCGACGCCATTGTGGACGCGTCCCCTGACCAAGGAGTGTGTGGGCGGCTGCTGTCCTGTTATGTTGAGCGTGTCCCCTCCCGCCCCCCCCCCAACCCCCTGTGCTTGGGCTGCTGGTGTTGCTTGGACTTGTGTCCACACGTTCGCTGGCCACTGCGTCAGAGCCCCTGGTAGTGACCCTAGCCACCATCCATTCTCTGGGGTGCCTCCTTTCCGGGCTGCCCCTGTGTTACCGGCGGGTGTCAGTCAGCTGAGCTTTTACTGGAGGCCTGAGGGTGGCTATGTGGGGGCCTGTGTGTCCCCTAACCCCTAGGGGAGAGGGCTGTGCATAAGGAGGGGGCCTCTGCTCTCACACTTGCTCCGTCCCATCGCCTGTAACAGAGAGGCGCTAAAATCAGAGTCACAATGATCAAGTGTTACCGCCCCCATTTTCGTCCCATGAGGCCCCACAAACAGCCCACACCCTCTCCCTTGGCCTTTGGGGGCCCGTGGGTGTGCCGGAGTTAAATACGCCGTCCCGGAACCTGGGAAGCTGGAGGCTGCGGCCTTCGTGTGTGTCCGGAAAGGCTGAGTTAAGCTGTAGGGGTCACCAGCTCTGAGTGGGGGGCGGGCGTGCGTTGCCATGGAAATCAGCTCAGATCCGTGGGAGAAAGTTGAGGCTTTCTACTCCCCCGAAGATTTTCAGCCTCAGAAACCCCATACAGGGTCGCTGTGAGCCGTAAGTGGCACCGAGGAAACACGCGGCCCCCAGCCACTTGGTCCTCCCTGTCCCCGCTTAGACTCATGTGCTTGGCCTCTCTCCCACAAGCCCAGCTGAGCACCCCACCAACAAGTGGGGACCCCAAGAGTAGCTGAGTCTCATTCACTCACCTGTTTCGGGGGCTCCTCCCCACCCAGCTAGACCCCACTAGCTCTAGTGTCCTTGTAGCATCTGGTGGGGTGAAATGTCAGAGTCCCGTCAGGCCCCCCTGTACTCCCTCCTAAGTGGGGAGCCAGGCCTCGGTTGTCATGGGTCCCCCAAACGCTGGCTGTTCCGACTTGATCCAGAGCTGTGCCCGGCCCCCTGGCACGCACACTGTCCTGTGGGTGGAGACCTGGTGGGTCCCCGTGCCGGGGCCACGTGCTCAGGGGCTTTGACTGTGGCCCGTGGCTTTTGTCCTGCAGAGTTTTTCGAGCTTATCTCCAAGGCTCAGAGCAGCCGAGCTGATGACCAACGTGGGCTGCTGAGGAAGGAGGACCTGGTACTGCCCGAGTTCCTCCGTCTGCCGCCCGGCTCAGCTGGACCGCCACGCCCTAGCCATGGCTTCAGCAGGCGACTCGGGAAGAGCCACAGCCAGGACAGTGCCCCGCCGCCCGGCGAGAGGTGGGAGGTCCAGGACCTGGGCCACAGCCCCGCCACCAGCCCCAGCTCCTCTGGCAGCCAGCCCAGATCCCCCACGGCAGCCACGCCGCCCGGGCCCCAGGCCCCCCGGCCCCCTGCGCTGGAAGGGGCCGTGAAGCTCTGGAGACGGCAGTCGAGGGAGTTGGAGGGCGTGCAGACCCTGGAGGAGGACTCTGTGGCCGACCTGACACTGGTGGGGGAGGGGGACATCGACAGCCCCAATAGCACCCTGCTGCCACCACCACCCACCCCGCCGGCCGGCACCCACCAGGCGCCCCCAGCCCCGCTGCCAGATGCCCAGGACACGTCGGGACCGCAGAGACCAGGTACCTCCGGAGTCTGACCCTCACACCCCGGCTCGCCCCTCCGTGCCCACTACAGAGGCAGAACTGCTCAGTCGGCCCCGCCTGTCACCCCTAAGTGTTTCCTGTGTGTGCCCCCCGGCCTTCACTGCATGGAGCGTCAATGGCGGCTGGGCTAGAGTTTTGCCCAGGACAGTGGCCACCTCCGAGCGTCCTTCCTACCCCGCGGTCACTGGTGGGCCCATGTGTCTCGGGGTGAGGTTCCCTGAAGTACGGTGGGTGTGGAGGGCTGCAGGGGGCACCGCAGCTCCAGGAGCAGGTGGACATGTGGCCCTGGCTCCTTGGCTGGCTCAGCCCTGCTGCCCTTCCCAGCGTCCAGTGCCATGGTCGGAGCTGGTGGCTTCTCCACGAACCTCGCCAGTGTATGTTCGTAGCGTGCTAGCGCATGTGACGTGTTCTAGTGTGATGGCACGTGGGCGGGTGGGGCTACTGCTTCTGTGTGCCCACCCCCACAGCAGTCTCTGAGTCTTGCCTCCCGGGTCTGGGGGCAGCTCTCCCTCCCCTGCATGCCCCTGTGGTTCCACTTACCCCTCTGTCCCTCTGTCTGTCTGTCTTCGCTGTCACCGTCCGAGACTCCTCTCTGAGTAATAAACTCCCAGCTCGTCGCTGGACCGCCCGCCTGGAAGCTCTTCTTTCTCGTTCCCCTCAGAACTCTGTTCTTGTGGTTTCAGGGACTGGGAGGGTCATCCACTGCCAGTCCCAGTGGCCACGGTTGGATGACCGGGAGATGTGGATGTTCACGGGGGGTCTGGGCAGGAGGGAGGGCCAGCTTGCTGCTTCTGTCGGAGCACCTTCTCTGTACCTGACTCACCTGCTCCTCACGATGGCCGGCCGGGGCCGCATCTCACCTCCTATGCCTGCCCTCTGTCTGCCTGGCTCCTCCAGATGATCCCATGAAAGGAGTGGGGAGTGGGGGAGCGTGGCAAAGCAAAACGTGGGGTGCCCCTGCCTACCAGGTGTTGGGCCGGCCAGCTGTCCTCCCCAGTTCTCAGCCCCCTGCAGCCAATCTGCGTGCACACTGGCACGTCAGGATGGGCCCAGGGGTTCCCCGGCATTTCCCTCTCCATCTGCGGGTGTCCACTGTGCCTGTGGGGGCTCTGTGCACGTCCAGGGAAGGCTTCAGTGACGCTCTGGACGAGGGCTGGCCTCCAAAGGGGCTGTGATCTCTCAGCAATGACTGTGACCACTTTGTAACAACACGGTGGCCCTTTGGACTCACCTGCCCAACATAGCGTGTACTGGACAACCCCCATTCCTGCCCTCGGCACCCAGCTCCCAGTGGGCTGGAGAACTAGAGAAGGATGGTGATGGGGGAGGGGCTGCGGGACTTGTAGGGGCGTTTCTGACCTCATCATGGGACCCTCTGTTGAAGTGCCCGCTAGACTGACCTGAGCTGTTCGCATCCTCCAGGGACACACATCTCTGGACGTCCCAGATCTGTCCTCTGGGTTCTGCCCCCAACCAGCGACTCCCACATCCCCAGCCGGCCATTACTTCACCTTGTGACTTGTGTGTGGGGTCTCGGGTTGGTTCCCCTTCTCACCTCCCCCTGAATCAGCACCCCAATTCCAGTGCTGACCTCTGTCCAGTTCTGTTCCTTTCTTGTCGGTTCACCAGCCCTGAGTCCTGAGCCCTGACCCCCGAGGGTAGACTGGGAGAAGCCAAGTCCCCTCTGTGTCCTGTACACGTCTGAAGCCGCAATGGGGCATCTGGAAGAGGAGGGCTGCTCCCACAGCCTGGTCTGTGCCCCCTGCCTGAGCCCACCTCTGGCTCCTGAGGAGACATCTGCTGTGACGAGGACTGTTCACCCCCTGGCATTCCCAGCCAGGTCCCCCTGAAACACCACCCTCCTACGAGCCTGTCTATCCTTGTTCCCACTGACCTTCAGAGACCACCTCCCCTACCCCACCCTCCCTGTTGTCTCCTTGGCACAGTGGTTGCCGGGTGGTGTCTGCTGGAGTAAGGACCCACACCGAGCTCCATCAACCGCTAGCATAGACACGGGATCTGGGCCTCAGGAAGCAGGAGGTGGGGTGTGATACCCGGGATGGTCTCAGACCCCTCTGGACGGTGGATGGCTGGACAGGGAAGGCTCCCTGGGCTCCAGGCCCCTTGAACAGCTTGACCATCATGGTCTCATCCACTAGGGACCCGCAGAGCAGGTGGTCAGTGTGGGTCAGGGCTGTCAAGCTAACTGGGCAGAAGGCTCTCAGGAGTGTGGCGGGTCAGGGTGGCACCTGGCTGTGAGCTCAGGGAAGGATCTGTGAGCAAAGCCAGGGACAGACTGGCAGATGGACAGGCCAGAGCTGGAGGGAGGGCAGGCCAGCCGAGTGGACGGGGGAGCAGTTGTCCAGAGGCCTCACGTCCTGGTTGCTGGGGTGTCTGAAGGGTGCAGCACAGAGGTGTCGGAACAGTGCCGGGAAGCAGGTGGGGGGGCGATGCCTTGGGCATGAGAAGTCCGGAGGTCCAGGCCCCGCCGTGATCCCTGGAGCGACGTGCCCTGGAGGAAGCCCTGGGGCAGCGGTCTGGGCAGGTCCTGGCATGAAGCCTTGGGTGGTAAGCACTGAGTCAGGAGAGCATGTTTGGGCTCAGCAGGAAGCATCCGGGTATGGCCATCTCCTCAGGCACGAGGTACAGCGTGTGCCTGAAGGGAGCTGTCTTGTCCCCAGGAGTGGGTCCCCTGGGCTCTGAGAGGCCCGCAGAGTGGGTGCTTGGGAGCCCTTCAAAGTTGGATGCCCAGAAGGGGACCCTCCCATACCCGCCCCAGGCCCTGCAGTCGTGGAACCTCAGGGACCTTAGATGAGCCATTGAGGACTGGCTGGGAGAAGCTTCTAGAAACATCTCAGGGAGGATTTGGAGCATCCAGAAACGTCTCCATTGTTCAGCCATTTATGCCTGGGGCCCAGGGAGCCCTCACCTGATTTGGGGACCTCCGGATGCTGACTGGCAGCTGAGACCGCATCCTGAGATGAACTCCTGGGACCCTGGGCTCCCCACCCCCATCTTGGCAGCTCTATCCGCCTTCAGACAGCGGAGGGGGTCTACATCCCTGAGGCTTCAGCACAGCTGGGGAAACTGAGGTCCAAGAGCAGGACCCGTGGCCCTGGTTCAGGGGTGGCTCCAACCCCCCACAGTCTTCCCCAAGTAGAAGGGCTGACCGCTCACCTGACCACTGTCCCCTGCCCCTCCCTCCACCTCAGCCAGTGCTGGCCTTCAAGTCCTGACCCCTGGCATACCTACTGCACACCTGGCTTGGCCTGCCCTAGGGACCCCCACATCTGTCCAGTGGGGGATCTGCTCACCCCAGCATCAAGAAACTTCCACAGCAGTTTTGGGGAACCCTGAGGACTTCTGGGGGCTTGGAGCCTGAAAGCGCTCCAGGGACATGCAGAGGCCTAAGCAGGGGTCCCCTGGGGTGGGCTGCTGGAGTGGGGGCAGAGGCCGACAGCAGGCCTGTCGTGTCCAGTGAAGGGGAGGCGGGTAACTGGGGAGCAGCACCCGGGGCTGTAGCAGGGACGCATGACACTTGTGGGGGTGGGGGGCTGAGTTGGGCGTGGATGGGCCATGAGGCTTCAGGCAGGTGGATAAAAGGTGAAGAGGTGAAGAGCTGGAGGCTGGGCCTGGGAGCCCGCAGAGCCATCAGGGCACCTGGTTACGGGGGGTCTGATGTGGCCTGGAGCTCCTCAGTGGCCTGTCTGAGACCCTCACTCTGCCTGCATTGGGCCCTGGGCTTGAGGTTCGGCACACAGTTCTCCGGGGGAACGAAAACATAGCACCTCCGGGGACCCAGCACACAGCTTCCCCTGGGACCTAATGCACAGTGCAGCACACAGCCCCCCTGGGGACCTAGCCTGAGAGGACAGGTGTGCAGACAGCCCCCAGCCCTGCTCTTCTCTGTCCTTCGGCCGTTATCCTGGAGTTAACTCACCCCCACTGCGGTCTCCCAGCTCTCCAGCCCCTGTCCTGCCTTGTCCCTGGTAGATGGGGTGCTGGTCTTCACTGAGGCAACGCCAACCCTGAGCCCGGGTCACTGGGAAGGAGCCCCATGGTTCTGGGATGGCTGCCTGGAGGAGAATGAGGGGTCATGGCAGGGGGGCTGGGATGGCATGGTTAGGCCCTGGGTGGGACAGCAGCCTGGAGCTGGACCACAGTTTGGCATCCCCACAGTTCTGCAACACAAAACCTGTCCAGCCTTCCGCTTGCCACCCCTAGCCCCAGCCAGGATCCCTAGGTGACCAGCAGCTTCCTGGAGGTCTGCAGCTACGCCTGCTAACTTCCCTGGTGGCCGAGGGGCCCATGTGAGGGGTGGGCAGCTGCCCTGGTTGACCCTCAGTGATACTCTTCCCTCTCCTGACAGGAGGCGGGATCCAACGCAGCCGAGGCCTCCCGGTCAGAAGGATCATCGAAGTGGACTGTGTTACCAGGCCAGTGCCCACACTGGGGGATCAGACAGGCCCCAGGCAGTCGTGGGCCAGTGGACCCCCAGCATCAGAACCCTCCGGCCTGGCTCCCACCTCAGGGGAGCCTGCCAAGGCCGCAGCTGCCCAGCACCATGCCACGTTCGTCTAAAACCACCCCACGCCCTGGCGCTGCAGCTGAGCGCTCTCTCACCGACAAGCATGTGCTGACCCTCGGACAGATGAGGGGTCTCAGGGATGTTTCTGCTGACCTGGCGGGGGACGGGACACTTCTCTGCCCTGCCGCACCCTCTAGCCCTTGTTCAATAAAACATTTTGGGGGTCCACTAAGTGTTGAGTCTCCTGGGGGAACTGGGGAAACAGACTGCACCCAGAGGACTCTTAAGCACACTGCAGAGGTGGTCCTGGGGGTGGACGTAGCTCAGAGTGATGTGGTTGGGGTGCTCAGTAAGAATGAGGGTCACACTCCCAGCCCAGCCTAGTACCTTCTTCTGTCCCCCAGACAGACAGACAGACAGAACGGGATCTTTGGGAATCTGTTCTTGGGTAGGGACAGGGTTCGGCTTGGGACATGTTCACTGAACCTTTGGTGCCTCCACCCTGCCCTTGAGGGGTGATCTGTGCTGGAGAATCCTGGAGTCAGCAGACAGAGTACATGCAAAGGCCCCGAGGCTCAGCGAGTCTTGAGTCAAGCAAATGAGGCCACAGTGAGGTGGTAGGATGAGCCCAATACACGGCTGGTGGAACTGGGGCACCCGGAAGTCTAGGGGTGGGGAGCACTGTGTGGGAGAACCAAGGGAGAAAGGATGGAGAGGTACCCCCTCGGGACACCAAACACATTGGGGACAAGTGTGGACCCCAGGCAGCAAGGGAAGGGTGGGGAAGCTTCTGGGAACCTGGATGCCAGAAGGGGACGAGAAGGTGGTCCCAGTATTCCCGGGACCAAGAGGGGAGTGGACACTGACCACCTGTGACAAGGAGCCTGGCTGGGGTCCCAGACTGGGCCAGGACAGATGCTCCTAGGACCCTCGACTGTCCCAGGCATTGAGATTGCTGGTAGTGGTAAAGGACAAAGGAATAGTGATGTTGTCATGCTGCTTCTACTAGGGACAGCGGATAGACAGACATGCTGGGGACAGCAGACAAATGGACGTGCTGGGGACAGCGGACAGACATGTACTAGGGGCAGCAGACAAACAGATGTACTAGAGACAGTGGGCAGACAGACACACTAGGGACAGTGGACAGACATGTACTAGAGACAGCAGACAGATGTACTAGGGACACACTGGGCAGGCATCCAAGGCCGGGGCTAGGCCTCTAGGGAATTGAGGGTGGGGTGTAGAGAGAGGACAAGGAGTGGGGGGCCAGGAGGGAGAGGCAGGGAAGGGGAGGTGGGGGAACCCGAACGGCAGAAGAGGCTCCCACAACCGCTGTGCCCATGGCTCCAACTCCGACCCCAGATCTCAGAGGAGTGCACAAGACCCAAGAGTATCGGTGCAGGCCTCTGTGTCCCTGGGCTCAGTCTGAGAGGGTGGTCAGAGCTGGACAGACGAGGCAGGGATGCTGTGGTGGGCCGCAAGGGCTTCCTGGAGGAGGAGTCTGCGTGTGCAGATGGGTTAATCATTGCCTGGCAGCCTTGACCCCCAGCTGCCCTGGTCCTGCTGTCCCGTTGCCTCTGCCCTTCGGCCAGCTCAGGAGGAGCCATGGGGTTCTGGGTCTGGGTCCCCGGACACTGTCCCCTTCCTGGGCCGTTCCTGCTCCCACCACTGCTATTGCTGCTATTGGCATCTGGTGGGGCCCAGCTTCCGGCCAGCAGGGTGAGCGCTGACCCCTCACCAGAGGACATCGGCCTGCCTCCCCATGCCCACTCGGTCAAAGTGCCTGTAGGCCGTTGGCTGAGGCACATGGTCCCCCAGGGCAGGGGTCGGATGTAGGGAGAGGTGGGTGTTGAAGGCCCTGGAGGTCCAGTCTGACTGCAGGTTGCTGTCCCTGGACAGACTGGCCTGGTCTGCTGGGGGTGGCGGGGTGGGGGCAGGGTAGGGCTGGTCATCTGTCTAAACCTCCGGGCCTGAGTGTTGGAGGGGGTGAGGGGGAGGCCCATCCCCAGGACTGACCTCAGAATCTGGCCGTGGGTACCCTGACCGAGACCTGAGGGCCCACCCACAAACCTGGGGAGAGACATCCCTATAGCCTGCCCCTGCCCAGCCCTCTCGGCTTCCTCTAGAACTGGACAGAGTCCCCGCAACGCAACACCACAGTGACCCCAGGAGCCCCCACAGTCCCGAGCCCATCGGGGGCCCCCTGGACATCAGTGACACCCTCCACCCCAGCAGCAAGCACTTCTGAGGCTCCAGTGGATGGGCATCGTGGAGAGGGACCCATCCCCACTCCTAGGGGGGACTTGAGCAGCACTGAGGACCGAGGTGGGTCAAGGGCTCTTGGGGAGAGGGTCAGGGGTGCTGGTGTGGGCCTCACTGACTCTGTCCTCCCGCAGTGCTCACGGAGGATGGACAGACCTGCAGGTTCCCCTTCCGCTACGGTGGCCGCATGCACCAAGCCTGTACCTCTGAGGGCAGTGCACGCAGGAAGTGGTGGGTTTCTGGGATGGGGGGATTCCCGCCCTTCATCCACCCGGCAGGACTCCCTCCGTCACCCTAGCCCCCAGCTTCCCCAGTGGGCTGTTGATAGACACGTGGGGAGTAAGTTAAAGAGTGGGCGGGATGAAACGGGAAGCCCCCGTCAGCACAACTGTCCACCCCCAGGTGTGCCACGACTCACAACTATGACCGGGACCGCTCCTGGGGCTACTGTGCCCCCACCACCACCAGGCCTCTGGGGGACCCAGGTGGGTTCAGGGTGGCCTGAGTTTGGTCCCCCATGGGCAGTCTGGGGTGAGTGAGCTGGAGGGGTCAAAGGACAGAAGTGAGGTGGGGGGCAGCTGAGACTTGGGTGGAAATTGGGGAGCAGGGAGCCTGCTTGGAGTGGAACGGGGTTCTCTAATGAATCATCTGCAGGTATGGGGACAAGTGGGGGCAGAGAAGCAGTCACTGGAATTTTTTGGGGGCTTGGGGGTTCCCGATGACAAACATGTGGTCATTGTTGTGGTCGCAGTGCCCCCTGGTGGCCAGACTGGACTCTGCGGTCTCAAGGTCCAAACCCAAATATGGCCCAGGGTGCATGGGATGGGGCCCAATGAGGCAAGGTGGGTGGGTGGGGTCTTGCACACTCAGTCTCCAGACTGGTGGCTGCAGACGTTAGCCAGTGACTTTGCGGCCTGATTGTGCCCGAGCGGCTGGCCTCCGGGGCCTGACTGCCGACCCGGGTGTGGGTGCCCAGGGAGGAAGGACTAAGGTCCCCAGCAAGTGCTAAGACTGGACTTCAGACTCCCAGGGAGCCTGCACCCCAAGAAACTCAGAAGCTGGGGCCAGGAGGTGGGACCCCATTTGGTCCCTCACAGCCCCCTTGGTGTTCCCAGGCACGCTGGACCCCTGTGCCTCCAGCCCCTGCCTCAACGGGGCCTCCTGCTCTAGCACTCAGGATAGCTCGTCCTATCTCTGCTCCTGCCCCATGGCCTTCACCGGCAAGGACTGCAGCCAGAGTGAGCCTGGGACTGTGTGTGTGTGGGGGGGGGGGTGGGGGGAGGGTGAATGGAGGTGGGTGGGCGGTGAGCAGGTGCCTGCTGAGTGCTGGGGGGTGAATGGGGGTCATGGGGGGACAGGCGGAGGCTCATTGCATGCCCCCCAGAGAAGTGCTTTGACCGGACGCGGTATGAATACCTGGAGACAGGAGACCACTGGGCCCGTGTGCACCAGGGCCACGTGGAGCAGTGTAGCTGTGCCGGGGGCGAAGCTCAGTGCCAGGATACGCGGCACACAGGTGTGCCCACCCCACCCCCCAAAGCTTGAGCAGGTCCACAGAGGGGAGGGAACGCTGGCCCAAAGTTACCTTGCGACTCTGGGGTGGTCCCAGACCTGAGACCCCTGTGCACGCCTCCCCAGCACCCCCAGCTTGCCTGAGCCCTGTGCCAAATACCAGGCATGCCTGATTCCCCCTGCCCGTTCCCCCTAGCTTGCCTAAAATCCCCTCCCCTCCTCCTGAGCCCCCCTTCCCACCCCTGTCCCCCCAGCTTGTCTGAGCAACCCCTGCTTGAATGGAGGTACCTGCCACCTGATTGTGGCCACCGGGACCACCATCTGCGCCTGCCTGCCGGGTTACGCTGGTCGGCTTTGCAACATCGGTGAGTAGTCAGCACCCTGGGGTGGGGGTGAGAGAATCCAGGCATCAGCCAGGCCTCACGCACACCCTCCCCCCATCCCCGGCCTCCAGTGCCTGCCGAGAGCTGCTTTCTGGGCAATGGTACCCAGTACCGTGGTGTGGCCAGCACAGCAGCCTCTGGCCTCAGCTGTCTGGCCTGGAATTCGGATCTGCTCTACCAGGAGCTGCACGTGGACTCAGTGTCTGCCGCTGCACTGCTCGGCCTGGGGCCCCACGCCTACTGCCGGTCAGCACCCCACGCTCCCTGGGGATGGCGACCCTCAGATCCCACTGGGTCCCACAGCCGGTGGGGTGCCCGGCCCCAGGGGCTGGCTGAGGAAGATGCCAGGGCAGGGACCCGACCCACACAGTCCAAGAGCAGCGGTCCCCGTCCCAGTGTCTACACCACCCCTCTCTGACCTCACCCTCTCTGAGGGACCGTGGGACCCCCTTCCGCCTCTGTGTCCTCCAGGAACCCTGACCGGGACGAGAGGCCGTGGTGTTACGTGCTCAAGGACAACATGCTCTCCTGGGAGTACTGTCGCTTGGTGGCCTGCGGTGAGCGATGGGCTGGGGCGGGGCTCTGTCCTCCTCACCTGCTGAGTGCCACGCTGGCCTCTTCTTCCTGGAGACTGAGGGTCACTGGGTGGCTGTCTGGGGCAGAGTGGGTACAGTGGCTGTCCAGGCAGCAGGCTTTGACACCCTGGGATGCCCATGCCCAGGATTGTTTCCCAGGGACAGGGACACCCTGAAGGGCCTATACCCCTGAACCCCCATCTCTCATCTGGGTCTCTGGTCTGCATGCAGCAGGCCCCTCTGAGCCACACAAAGCGGCCCCCACGTGGAGAGTGATCGTTAGCCTATAAATGGGGAAACAGAAGCTCTGGGAGTAAGCACCCAAGGGCAGAGACGCGCCCATACTTGGATCCAGGATTGCTGAGGGTGGGAGGGGATGTGGGGGACCCATGAGGGGCCCGTGGAGGTGGGCAGTGGGATCAGGGTGTGCAAACCAGGCCTGGCTGTGCTGTGTGCGTGGTTATGACCCGGAACGTCTATTCCTAGAATCCTTAACCAGAAGACAGCCGCCTTCCACCCCTGAGGTCCTGCTGACCATGCTGGAACCAGCAGCTCCTGGTGGGCGTCGGACCTGTGGCAAGAGGCACAAGAAGAGGAATTTCCTACGACCCCGTATCATTGGGGGCTCGGCCGCCCTGCCTGGCTCCCACCCCTGGCTGGCTGCCGTCTACATTGGGGACAACTTCTGTGCTGGAAGCCTCATTCATACCTGCTGGGTGGTGTCTGCAGCCCACTGCTTCTCCAACAGGTGAGCTGGTGCCGCTCCAGATGGTGCATGACCCCCAATATCCCTCCATCTGCACCTCTACATGCGCATTGTCTTCTCCACATCCAGCCACTCTCCATCTGCCTGCCCATCTACCTAGGGGCTTGTCCACCTCCCCATCCACCCTCTCCATCCACCCACTTCCCCATCCATCCACCCAGCCATCCATCTAGTCCATTCCCCACTCACCTACCCATGGGACTGTCCACCTACCTCCCCATCCATCCACCTTCATATATGTCCATCCACCTACCCACTCACCCGCATCTGCTCACCTGTCTATCTATTGGACCATCACCTGCCCGTGCCCACTCACCCATGAGACTGTCCACCTGCCTATATCCACCCACCCACCGTCCACCCACCGATCTACTGACCCCACCCCAGTCACCCACCCCATCCACCTACTCACCCACTCCTCACTAATCCGTCAACTACTCCAACACACATCCACTGACCCACCCAGCTCCCCACTCATCCATCTGCTCACCACACACATCCATCCACCCAACACTCACTCACCCATCCATCCACCGGAGACTGCCCATGGGCCCATGTAGACCTACCTGCCACTCCTCAGCCACCCACCCATCTGCCTGTCCTCACATGTTCCCACTGGACCCTCTCATCCCCCACTGCCTTGCAGCCCCCTTGGTAGTAGTTGAGACTATCAGACCCCCGAGATCCCACCTTTACCCCATGAAGCTGACACGGTGCAGGGAGGAGGCATTTCTCAGAGGAGCAGACCCCGCACTCCACCCCTGATCCCAGCTCAGGGGACTCAGGTCTTCTTCCAGGTGGGGGTGGACCCTGCCCAGCTATTCTCTACGCGATACTCCAGCTGGGCACCAGGGGGCGCAGTGACAGCGCTCAGGGTCCGGAGGGGAGGAGCCCTGGAAGGTCGTGGAGTCCCACCCTCCGGGGAACAGGGAGGTCTTCTGTTGGTGGACACCCCCGTTCGATGTGGCAAGGGCTCTGACTTCCTAGGTGGGCCACCAGGTGTTTTGGTGCAGAGCGGTACTGAGAGAGGAGTTGGATCCCTCCGCCTCACCCCTGCCCGCCCCCACTGCCAGCCCCCAGGGCCACCCTCAGGCTCCGCCTGGCATAAGGGGGGAGGAGTAAGGAGGAGCTTGGGGGTGGTCTTAGGGTGGGGAGGCTGCCCTGCAGGGCCAGAAGGGTGTATTCCTCAACTGGAGGCAGATGGCAGCCATTTCTGGCGGAAGCACTTAATTCCCCTTGAGTCCCACGAGACCTGGGGCATTCCAAGTTCATCCCCAAAGGCCCCCAGGTTCTGGCTCACACTCTGCGTGCGATCCCCGTGGGCTGGAGACGTCATGCCTAGCAGGTGGTGGCAGGGGTCCAGGAGCAGGGACCTTGAGCCCCTTTTCAGATGGAAACTAAGGCCTGGAAGGTTGGTCACGGAGGCCTCAAGGCAGCTGGGGCTGAGGTGCAGCTGGACCTCTACAGAGGGCTCAGAGGGGACAGGGACTGCCAAGGGGGCGGGCAGCCAAGGGGGGCTGGGTCTCTCCCACTCGGGATCCACCTCCGAGTGGGCCTTTGCAGTGTCTGGTGCAAGGAGCTCAGGTTGTCCTTGGTGGGTGTGTGCCATGGAGTCTGTTCTGACTCATAGCGACCCTTGTACAGGGTTGCCGAGGCTCTGGCAGCATAGTGGTTACGAATCGGGCTGAGAACCGCAAGGTCAGCAGTTCGAAACTACCAGCTGTTCCGTGGGAGAAAGATGAAGCTTTTTGCTCCTGTAAAGATTTACAGCCTCTGAAACCCTGTACAGGGTCGCTATGAGTTGGAACTGACTCCACGGCACATAACTACCACCACCACCAAATCTTTACGGGAGCAGAAAGCCTCATCTTTCTCCCGCAGAACAGTTGGTAGTTTCGAACTGCTGACCTTAAAGTTCGCAACCCGTTTCATAACCACTACGCTCCCAGAGCTCCTTAGTCCTCCACTATCGCTCCTGTGTCCTCAGAGACCCGGCCCCCCTCCCCTCAGGCCGCTCCCAGGACTGAGGTCCCACTAGGAGTAAAGGGGGGTGGGGAAGGGCAGTCTTACTGCCCACCCCTTCCCCTACAGCCCCCGCAAGGAGAGCGTCTCTGTGGTCCTGGGTCAGCACTTCTTCAACCTCACCACGGATGTGACGCAGACATTTGGCATTGAGAAGTACATCCCGTATCCCCGCTACTCCGTGTTCAACCCCAGCGACCACGACCTCGGTGTGCAGGGGAGGGCGGGGTGTGGGGGCCCCCTTTGCTCTCAGCCACCTCCTGCCATCTAGCTGACCTCTGCCTTCCTCCCTGCCCAGTCCTGATCCGGCTGAAGAGGAAGGGGGATCGCTGTGCTGTCCGTTCCCAGTTTGTCCAGCCCATCTGCCTGCCCGAGCCCAGCAGCTCCTTCCCCACTGGACACAAGTGCCAGATTGCTGGCTGGGGCCACATGGGAGAGAGTGAGTGGGGGGAGAGTGGAGGGTGGGGGTGAGTAGGGCTGGGGTATAAGTAGGGGTGGAGATGAGTGGGGAGTAGATTCAGGAAATGGGGTGGTGGTGGGGTCTCTCCCACCCCTGAACAGACTGCACCCCGCAGACATGAGCAGCTACTCAAGCTCACTGAGGGAGGCCCTGGTTCCACTTGTGGCTGACCATAAGTGCAGCAGCCCCGAAGTATATGGTGCTGACATTAGTCCCAACATGCTCTGTGCTGGCTACTTTGATTGCAAGGCCGATGCCTGCCAGGTAAGCCAGCCCTGACCCAGCCCAGACATGGCCTTCCCCAGACGGAAGATTCTCAGGTGAATCCAAGGGAGCTTAGAGCTGGATGGGATCTCAGACAAGGAACACCCTTTAGCCTAGACGATAGCATCCCAGGATAGCGCTCACGGTCTCTGGAAGTCCTCCAAGTCACTGCAGGGAGAGAGAAATTCCTTCCTCATACAGATGGGAAAAGAAGGTCAGAGAGGAGTCTGGGGTTTCATCCATCCATCCAT